TTTGATTCCCTCTTCTTTGTGGCAACCACTGAGATATTGGAACACTGCTGTCATGTCTCCCTAGTCCTTCTTTTCATTCAACTAGACATAACCCACTTCCTGCAGTTGTTCTTCATATGTTTTAACCTCCAGTCCCCTAATCCTCTGTTGCTCTTCTCTGCAGTCTTTCTAGCATCTCTACATCTTTTTTACATCGTGGCGACTGAAACTGAATGCAATATTCAAAGTGTGGCCTTCCCAAGGCCTTATAAAGTGGTATTAACACTTCACATGATCTTGATTTTAGCCCTCTGTTTATGCAGCCTAGAACTGTGTTGGCTTTTTTGGCAGCTGCTGCACACGGATGGCTCATATTAAATGGCTGTCCATTAGGATTCCAGGATCCCTCTCACAGTTACTACTATTGAGCAAGGTAGCACCTATACTGTACCTGTGCATTTCATTTTTCTTGCCTAAATATAGAACCTTTTAACAATTCTACGATGGGTGTGTTATAGGAGTAACAGCTAGCTCAGCTTTGCTGCAAGGGATCCCTTCCCAACATTAATAATGTTCATTTCTACAGCCAATGTCAATATCCAGTATGAGGAAATCGGGAAATCCAGGCAATTTCAAATGAATATATAGATTTATTGCAAGCTTAAGCTCTCTGTTTAATACATTAACAAAGTTGGATGGGACCTTATAGGTCAGTGTTGGCTAACCTTTTTTGTTGTCATGTGCCAAAAGAGCGCGCCCGCACCCATAATGCAATGCACTCATGAACCCACACACATGCCCTGCCCCACTGTGCATGCGTATGTGCTCTCCCCACCCCCCGCCATGCATGCATGATCCCACTGACCCGTTTTGCGCCTAGTAGGCTTCCCTGCAGCCTCTTGAGAGTAAAAATAGGCTGTGGGAGGGGGGTTATGCCTCACCCACACCTACACTCGTGTGTGACCCCCACATATAAGTGGCAGAGACCTGAAAATCAGCTGCCCGATGGGAGGTGCACGCGCATGTGTGGTGGAAGTGAGCTGGGGCGACAGCTTGTGTGCCCGCAGAGAGGGTTCTGCCTGCCCCCTGTGTTATGCGTGCCATAGGTTCACCATCATGGTTATAGGTCTTCTAGTCCAATCCGCCACCCAAGCAGATTCTCTACAAGAATCTGAACTACTAACGGTCAAAGTGAATTGGCGGTAGATAAGAGTCAATTCAAAGTTGGCTGGTCTTAGATTTCTTGTGGACGTAAAGAGATTTGAGTGTCAGACCCGCCACCATTTAAACCTCTAAGTAGAAACGATCCTTGGCTCCATTTGTTGAAAAAGAACTGAGAATCATGCCAAAATCCCTAAGTTCAACTTCTGCCCCCCACTTAACTGCCTCCCATTGCTGTCCTCTCCTCATGACCAATCAGGTTCAAGCAAAATGTTTTCAGAATGGTCAGTTCAATCCTAGGTTAGTATGCAGCTGCTGTCTTCTCTCAGCTGAGTGACCTTCAGGCAGCATCTTCGGGATTTACTGTAGTTACTTTCGCTTTCCTCCAAGTATTCCCCCATCCCATCCACCCTCCCCAGAGTTAATGGCTGACTGCCACTGCATGGTAGCGAAATGCAAGGAAGCGGAAGGTAGCAGCTGACATTGAGAATGATGATGTGTGTGACCAGGGGTATTTTTCACTTACCTTCCCTACCAGTTCGCAAATGTGGACAAAAATGGAAGCTGGAAAGGGAAGTTTTGAGCTTAGAAATGATCAATTTGATTGTTTGGGGCACCCTTCACAAAGAGACCATGCCCATATGGGCAGCAGGAGATTGATTAACTACTTTAATATTTCATGCATTTTATTTTAATATTACATGCATCTTCCACTGATTTTATTAAAGCTTCCCACTTCATCCTCATGATTTTTATTGGTGTCGCCTCTCATCCATCACAGTCGTGGCCACCCTGTGAAATTATTATTGATCATAAGCACACCAAGCACTTTGTAAATGAAATGTTCCAATTTTGGATCTCAGCATAGCTGTCTCCAATTCTCAAAATGAATCTTTCTGATCCCACTCAATGTATTATATCTGTGATGATGAACCCATGGTAGGAATGCCAGGGGTGGCACGAGAGCCTTCTCTGTGGGCAGGCGCTGATCTTCACGCATGCTGGAGCCCCAGAAACCTGAAGACCAGCTGACCAGTGCATGTGTGCGCTGGCCAGCTGGTCTTCGGGCGCCCTGGCACCAGAAACATGCATGCGCGCGAAGACCAGCTGGTCTTTGGGCGCCCCGGCACCAGAAACATGCATGCGTGTAAAGACCAGCTGGTCTTTGGACGCGACGGCACCAGAAACATGCATGCACGCGAAGACCAGCTGGCCGGTGTGCATGCACATACCGCAAAGCAAAGGACCTGCTAGCCGGTGCTCACATGCGCACCAGCCAGCTGGTCTTCGAGTTTCTGGAGCTGAGGCGCACACGTACACCCATGCATACAGACACGTTCTGATTTGGGCACTTGGTGCCAAAAAGGTTCACCATCACCATATTAGATATATTCCATCGAGCAGCACGGTGGCCTAAAAATGGAGCTCTCACCTCACCTTCAGGAGGCTGTGAGTTTGATCCTAGGTAGCGGCAGATATTTATCTCTCTGGATGAAATAAGTGTCTGCTGTGAACCTCTGCATAGGCATCAGGAAGGGCATCCAGCCAATAAACTCAAGGTCTGTTCAGTTGTCCGGACGCCACCACAATGCAAGGGATTACAGGGTTGTTAAAAGAAATATATCATCGAACCTGGAAATAGAGGTTGGAATGCCTCGGCCAAAGTAGGGTGTTACAAACGCAATACATGTTACATACAGGTAGCCATCGGCTTATAACAGCCCATTTAGTAACTGTTCAAAGTTACAACAGCACTGAAAAAGGCAACATATGACTTTTTGTTCACATGTACAACCATTACAGTATCCCCCATGTCATGTGATCAAAATTCAGACTCTTGGCAACTGACTCCTATTTATGACGGTTGCAGTGTCCCGGAATCACGTCATCCCCTTTTGCGACCTTCTGTCAAGTAAAGTCAATGGGGGAAGCCAGATTCACTTAGCAACCAGGTTAACTAACTTAACAATTGCAGTTATTCACTTAGCAATTGTGGCAAGAAAGGTCATAAAATGGAACAAAATGCACCTAACAAACCTCTCACTTAGCAACAGAAATATTGGGCTCAATTGTAGTCGTAAGTGGAGGACCAGCTGTGCTTCCAATACACAAGTTGTTGTTGTTGTTACTTGCGAAGTNACAAGACAAAACCAGGCAATCAATCAACCTTCAACTATAACACAGAAGCACACATGGATATAGAGACGCCCTCACATAGCCTCCCTTATATAGACAGCTTCTTAAAGTGGCAGTAACCCCGCTGACTCATTCTCATTTCATCATCTCAGTTTACAGTCTTACAGCAACTGGACAACTATTAAATCATAAATATCTTAACCTTATTGAGAAAAGAATAGAAATTGAAGCCCTTGGTTACTTTCTGAGCTTGGTTGTTTTCTTGTAAACATTTCATTACTCATACTTGGTAACATCATCAGTGCTAGTGGGGAGTGGGGTTTGCTCTCAATTTATATTCTAGTGGCTTGCCTTGACGGTGTTTGTGGAAGTGGTCTTTATTGGAAGGAGGAGGAAAGTGTTGAAATAGGCTCCTTTATGTATCTAAACTTTGTCTCTTACTATTTATTGATTAAAGTTATTTATTGATTAAATTGGGATGCTGCCCATCTCACTTTCAGTGTGATTCTGAGTAGTGTGCCATTAAAAAAAGTTAATTCTTGACATTAATTAATCCATCGTAAAGGCTAGCAAATAAATTACTTTAAAGCCTTTAATACGTGCAGAAATGTAGTTTGTTTATTTTATTTATTTATTAAAGTGGCACGCAAAGCTCTCTCTGCGGGCATGCGCGCTGTCGCCCGAAGCTCTTCTGGTTTCTGGGCCATTTTCAGGCCATTTTTTCAGGACAAAAACGGTCTGAAAATGGTCCCAAAACAGCCTGAAAAACGCCCAAAAAACAGGCATGTGCGCACCAGCCAGCTGGTTTCTAGTGCAAGCACATTCACACACATTAGAGGTTCAGCTGAACCAGTTGTGGCAGCCAAGCTGACGTCATCAAACATGCGCAGAATGTCCTGTGCATGCCTAGAAGTGCATGCGTGTGTGCTCCCGCTACCGAACCAGTAGCAAAGAAAACAGGATTTCATGCCTGACGCACATGCATGTTCGTTCCGGTTTGAGCACTCGGTGCTGAAAAGGTTCACCATCACTGGGTTAGGATCTTCTGCACAAAAAGCCATAAAGCTTTTAGAAAGCAAAACTCTATTGATTCCCAAGGTTATTCACCATTGTTGAAACGTTTCCTGTATGGAATTGTCTAAACTCTCTTTAAAGCTATCTGTGAGCACAGCCCTCTTGATGGCAGTGAATACCTTGTGTACGAACATTATCTCAGTCACCAGAGAAGCCCAACATGGTAGATTCTGACAAGATTTGTCGTGATATTAACATGCACAACTCTTTCTTTTTTTCCAGGTGGTCCAGGAGGAAATATCCTTTCCTTCCAGCTTTGTGAAGCTGAGCTACCTGAGCAGCAGAACCTCAGGATATAAAACCTTGCTACGCATCATCCTGACACATTCTACAATCCCTCCTGGCATCACAAAAGTGCATCTCACCATCACAATTGAAGGGCGGCTGGCTCAGAAATGGTTTCCTGCTGCAATCAACCTCATCTATACTTTTGCATGGAATAAGACTGATATTTATGGCCAGAAAGTATCAGGCTTGGCAGAGGCAATAGGTATGTCTGCTTTTATACAATACAATAATACAATAGCAGAGTTGGAAGGGACCTTGGAGGTCTTCTAGTCCAACCCCCTGCCTAGGCAGGCAACCCTATGCCACTTAGACAAATGGTTGTCCAATCTCTTCTTAAAAATTGTGAAGCACCCACAACCTCTGGAGGCAAGCCATTCCACTGATTAATTGTTCTGACTGTCAAGAAATGTCTCCTTAGTTCTAAGTTGTTTCTCTCCTAGATTCGTTTCCACCCATTGCTTCTTGTCCTGCCCTCAGGTGTCTTGGAGAATAGTTTGATTCCCTCTTCTTTGTGGCAACCACTGAGATATTGGAACACTGCTGTCATGTCTCCCTAGTCCTTCTTTTCATTCAACTAGACATAACCCACTTCCTGCAGTTGTTCTTCATATGTTTTAACCTCCAGTCCCCTAATCCTCTGTT